GACAAGCTGCAAGGATGGGGCCTCATCTCTTTATCAAGTTCTTATTGCTGCATGCTGTGTTCCTGGGGGTGTAATGGGGACATCATGTGCAGCATCCTCCCAGTTCAAAGCTAAGCCTGGCTCTAAGAATCCAGGTGGAGCCTTTCTTTCCCAAGAAAAGCAGACAGCATAAAAGCTGTCATTGGGTTTGTTTTGTGTGGATCCTGATTTATGTGGTGTAGTGTGAAACACCCACCCAGGTCTTTCGAAAGAGCCATCAAACTGTTCACCACTTTTGAAGCTGACCTGCTTCTAGACATGCACAGAAATGAGTTTGGCAGAGCTGAGAAGTTTTGTTGAGTGTGACTGGTGGGAGGTGGTTCCCAGCTGAGATGGCAGTTAGGGAGAGCACCAGTTCCAAAACAGACATAACTCCCCCCAGGAGCTGGAGACCCAGCCTCGTTTTGTACATTCAGCCTCCAGCTACTGCAAAGTGGACATGGCTTTCCCAAGGACTCTGAAATGTACTGCCTTTAATATGGCATAAAAAAAAGCAAACCTGCTTTATAATAGTGTATTTTATATACACCATTACATAAAATGTATTTTAAAGAAATGAAAATTCTGCCAGGCTTGTTTCATATTTTATTAGTATTACCATGTCTTGCTTCCATGCTGAGGCACTTCATTACAGGTCTGTGTTCCACCTTTCTTAGATTCTGTAAATAATAGGAAGCTGTTGGCTTTTGAAGGCTCTGTCTGTTTGCTAGAGCTGGTGGAATACAGCTTGACCACAAACCTGCAAGGATGAATAAGCTGAAAAAGCACAGGCTTCTTGTCTGTCATTTTTGCTTCTAACAGTAAGAGTGGGAAAAAAAAAAGGAGCAAATGATGACAGTCGTAACTTGAAATGCATTGGCCTCAGACCCATCTTGGATTTGTTACTGTAAAAAATATAGCTTATGCAACCAATTGCGTAAGGTTTTGCTGTTCTTTTCAACAGATGGCACTTGAACTTCATTATTTTTTTGTAATAATTTCAACATGTGTGTTACAGTAAATATTTTATTAGCTTACAACAAATTTTGCTTTTCATCCTGGAATTGCAGGGTTGTTTCATCAGTTACCCCCCAGATATGTTTCTCCGTCCAGTGTTTTTCCCTTGCCTGTTGAAAACATGTCAAACTGATTTAAAATGTTTTATGCACATTAAAATGAAAACCATATGTCTTATATTAAGGGTGACTGTGCAGAAGCTTTCACTTGAATCAGGTTTTGCATGCAGTTTCACGCACTTGCAGATACACTGTGCCCTCCTCCTCCTTGCACACAGGGACCAGATTTGGGAGAATCTGTTGTTGAAGGGGCCTCTGAAAGCCCTTTGTTAAACCTCTGCCACCAATGTGACAGGAGGGCTGGGATCTTTTCCCAGTCTCTGATGAAGTTTGCTGCCTCTCTGTGTACTGCTAGGTTATCCCTGCCAAAGATGACATTTTCCAGTTCCTAAAAATACTTCTGACCAGCCTATCCATTTCCCTTCAAACAGACCAAATAGTACTGCCTGGTACATAAAAAAATCCCCTGAGGTGATACTGCATGCTTGCTTATAAAACATACTTGTCCATAGGTTATAAATAATAACAATTTATAATTTAAAATAATTTATAAAACTGTCAAATGCAAGTTTAGCATTGCTTATAAAACTCCCAGTGTCGTTTTTGAATCTCCAGTCTCAATGTTTGCATTGAGGTTGGTGTAGGAAAGCAGCATCCTTCTGTCTCTGATAACAAAGAGCCTTTTTGTTTGAACATGAAGATAAGTTCCCCCGACTGTTCCCTTCTGCTCCATGAGCATATGTTCCCCCTGACAAAGGTCACTTCAGGTTCAGAAGAGTGAAACTGTGGGAGTAGTTTTTAAGGTGTTAGAATGGCTCAAGCTCCATACAGAAGCACAAAAAAATAATTAGGTCAGGCTGACTTCTGTATGAAAAATAGCCTTAACAATACATATAACAGCAAAAAACTCCAACTTGTAATGCTCTTTGTCTGTTCCAACATCCACTTTTGGCTTCTCTACAAATCAGTGAATTAGAAACAATTAAGAAAAACACAAGCCCAGATCATAGTGATATGCAGAATATGCATGATGGCTCTCAGCCAATGTCAGTAATTATTTTGTAGTGACTGTGTTTTGAGAGAAGAGCTTGATTGATTGTGGCTTCACAGAATACATAAGTCACATTATGTATTCATGTTGAGATCTGCAATGCTTATAATTTGCATTAGTGTGGTTCAGATTACTACTAAAACTATAGTACTTAGATCAGAAAACTGCTTAATGAGATTAATTATTTGATAACAATCCTTCTTTCAAAGTAAAAAAATAAGCAAGAAAAATGAGCCAAAATCAAGATAAATAATAATTTGTAAAATTGCATTTTGATCCAAACACAGGGAAGCAAGATCTGTGTTGCAGTCCTTCCCAAAAGTCTGTCTGGTTTTGAGCTGCAAGTCTTCTTGCCCAACGCATTTGAACAATTTATGGAGACACACACCCAAAGTTTTTCTCTACATCCCCTCTGACTGCATCTCTGCCAGCTGCCCAAGATGCCAGCTGTCACTGGGCCAAGCGCTCAACTGAAGTGTGACCATGGACCTGTCTGCTGAGGGAGCACTGTTGAGCAGTTGGGTGGATGTCCACCAAAGAGTGGGAGTGATGGCTTCATCCATTGGCTAGTGCAGTGGGATAGGGAAGGGATGCCTGTTGCCTTAGGATTGAGGACGCCAGACATTGCTGTACCCAGTTTCTTGCCATTATTTGTGGAGCACAACTCACAAATGTGAGTTCAATGACTAAACCTCGTATAAAACCGGAGGGGTGATTCAGTACTAAAATCCAAGATTCACAGCAGAGAGAATGCCAGATGTGCCCACAGGAGATGCCAGGGAGAAGGGCCCGTCTCCCAGACTTAGTCACTTGCCTGTAGTCCTGGCTGTGCCCACATGCATGCCTTGGATTCACTGTGAACCTCCATCCCAGAGCCAGACCACCTTTGTGAGTGCAGGCACCCAGCAGGTTTCATTCCTCTAAAATATGGGCAGTGCTAGTGCTACCAGTCTGTGCTGTGTCACATCTGAGCAGTTAGAGTTTGAGGAAAAGATCTGAGTCCAGTGCCCTTTTTAGACCAAAGTAGCCCAATTCTACACTAATCCTAAGAGTTCCTGAACCAGTGCAATGTACTGGGCACCCTCAGCTTCCTCCCCTCTCATTGTAGTGGAGAGAGTGACACCAGCAGAGGCAGAGCATGTGAGAGCAGCTTTTGTCACCTAAAGATTACAGCAGTCCACATGGGGGAAAGCTGTGACCTGTTCCTTGCTCTCAAGGTTACATCTGCTTTTACCCAGTTGCTGTTCAGTGAGAAATGTAATAGTTAAGTCCAAAATAGGAGTCTCCCATACAATAATCCTAAGTCAAATAAATAATAAGTCAAAAGCCAGGGACTGGCACCAAAACCCACTGTCGTCTAAGGTCTTTACACTTTGAATTCAGCACATTTCCCACTAGGAGACTTTGCTTCAAAATGGGTTATTTTTAAGGGTGTTATCTGAAGAAAAGGCTGAAATATTAAAGCAAAATTTCATTGCTTCTTTGCATTTTTTTTTTTACATTTGTCCGTGCATGTAAACAGTGTGGTTTTCTTTCCTAGGTCGTTTGTGGTGTACAAAATCTTGCAGGAACAACCCCATATGAAATAGAAAAATAAAAGCAGCATTAGTGCTTCCTGGAAATATACTGCTTATGCTATTAAATATTGGAGCTAGAGATGTAGCTGGGAATTAAAGCTCTCAAGATAAATTGAGCCAAATCTCTTAAAAATACAGGTCCTTTCATTAGTGGACATTACAGCTGAATTCTCTCTACTTTTGTGGCTGCTTCTAGTGACCTTGCTGGATATTTTTCCACACAGTCAGGCCCAAGCTCTGGGCGTCTCAAAATCAAGCTATCTAGAGAGACAGCATGCCACTTATTCCTCAAGTAACTGCACCAAAGTGGTTAATATGTATGCATATTTTGGTCATTTTGCTGTATCACAAAGTGTTTTTGAAGGCAAGAAAGCTCAGCAAATTTAAACACTTCACAATTTGAGGACAAGCTGTTTCTGTCAGCACTGGGGGGTTTTGTTGTTGTTTTTTTTTTTTGTTTTTTTTTTTTGTTTTTTTTTTTTGTTTTTTTTTTTTGTTTTTTTTTTTTGTTTTTTTTTTACAGCTCTATTTTACTGGCTATATGCAAAACCTATTTCAAGACTGATATACATATAAAGATACGCCATTTTAAAGGGTGTTATTTGAAGAAAAGCCTGAAATGTTAAAGCAAGATTTCATTGCTTCTCTGCAGCTTTGTCGTTGTTGTTGTTGTTTTGGGGTTTTTTTACACTTTTCAGTGCATGTGAGCAGTGTGGTTTTCTTTCCTAGGTCATTTCTGAATGCCATTTTAAAGGGTGTTATTTGAAGAAAAGCCTGAAATGTTAAAGCAAGATTTCATTGCTTCTCTGCAGCTTTTTTGTTGTTATTTTGGGGTTTTTTTACACTTTTCAGTGCATGTGAGCAGTGTGGTTTTCTTTCCTAGGTCGTTTCTGATGTATGAAATATATCTTTTGACTCCATAAACATGAGTATATGTATATGTATATGTATATGTATATGTATATGTATATGTATATGTATATGTATATGTATATGTATATGTATATGTATATGTATATGTATGAACTCCAAGTGACATACTGCTGAAGCTGGTGACTCAACGTGTAGCATCTTTTGCAGGAAGGGGTAAAACCCTTTATAAGAGGGAGCTGTAGCGCTGTTGTGCTTGCCCTGTGGCCGGGGCGGGGCAGAGGACGCAGTTGAAGGTGAGGCTGTGCCCTGCGCCGCTGGGATAAACACGCGGCCGTGCCAGCCGGAGGCGTAGCGGCCCGCGCACAGGCGGCTCCTTCTCCCGCTCCTCAATCCCGCCCCCAAATCTCCCCCTGCAGCAGATGCAGGATGGGAAGCCTGCCCTTGAGACGTTCGTAAGGGTCTCCCAGCCGATTCCCGTGTGCGACAGGAGAGCGGGAGCCCCCGAGCAGCGGTGGCAGGCGCCACAGGCGTGCGGACCGCGGGCTCCCTGTGCGCCCCTGCCCGGGCGGAGCTGTCAGCGGCAGCCCCGCAGCTGGCACGGGCTCCCTGCTCCTCCCTCGGTGTCAGCCGAGCCCGGTGGCTGTCGCGGTGCTGTCAGGGCAGCAAGGAGGCGAAAAGGCAGCGCAGAGCGCGATGCTGCCTGCAGAGCGCTCTCGGCTCGGTGCCGCAGCCCACCGGGCGGTAAAGAGCGCTGGGCTCTGCAGGATTGCTCTCTTGCTTCTCAGATACCCACACCCAGCAAAGAGCAACCCTGGAAAATGTGACGGTGCTTGGTTGGCCATCCCTGTGCCGTTCCTCCCATTGCTCAGAGCAGGGCAGAGCTCTGCTCCCGTAGCGTGGGCGTGCTGCTCGCAGCCCGCTGCCGGGCGGGGGAGGCCGGAGCACGGGATGCCCGGCAGGGACACCGGGCTGTCTCCATGGGCTGGGACACTGAGGGCTGCAGCCTGGAAGAACATGAATCAGTGAACTCCGAATGACAGACTGCTGGAGCTGGTGACTCAACGTGTAGCATCTTTTGCAGGAAGGGGTAAAAGTCATTTTAAGTGAAAAGTCTCTGATTGGAACTAAACAAGTGTTACGGCCATTTAGGACAAAGGTTTGTGGGGTTGAGAAATGTCAGTCTCTTTCATTGTTAGCACTAAATTAATGGGCTGTTCTGGAGCTTACATATGTGAGGTTTTGCCATTACGTAGTCACAGTGACAAAAATAATCAAGAAGTCATCCTTTGGAAGCTGTCAGCCTGGAGAATGGCATTAGGAGAACAAGAAACCGTGTTCAGCTCTTGCCTGAACTGCTGCTAGACAGAGAGTTTCATGTTTTGTTAGATATTTGTAAGAGAGAAGTCACGCCTACCCAGGAGAATATGTTGCAATGGATATTTTATGGATAGATGCCATGTTATTTTGCTCAGAGATGTCTACCAAATGGGAAAAGATGTTTTTTAGTCTCCTAATAACATTGCTGTCAAGCTCTGCTACAGACAAAATTGACTTGAACATCATTTGTACACTTGGAACCATTACTAGCAGTGACCCCTTTAACTTATAAAATGTTCTCAAAGATCCTATAAATAGCCACATGCCTAATTTTAAACATAAGTAGTCTCCTCTGTGAAGTGTTAAGCTTGTGTGTAGCTGTTATTAGAACTGGGGCCAGAAAGGTAAGTTCATGCTTTGCAGACACAGTTCCTGGTCTCAGATGCAGTTCAGTCTTTCAGAAAGCTCTGCTGATGGTGTGGTTCTGTTTTCAGGCTCTGTTGGCTCTTACCAGCAGTGCCCAGCCCTGCAGCTCTTGGTGCTGCAAGCCAGGCAGGTCAGGGAGAGGCGGTTGTTAAGCCTTGCTACTCGGCAATGCTTTCGATAGCAAGATCTGATTATGATGTGATCTGCTTACCCAGAGATGAACCTTGGCTAGGGCTCCTGCTCTCTGTGCCACAGCCAGGACTTGCCTTGGGAAAGCTGCTGGTGTCCTGCAAGCACAGGAATGTTTTGGGGACTGGAACACCAGAGGTATGGCATCTGTGTGACATGTTTACCTGTTTGGGTCTTGTTTAGAAAAGTAGTTTTAGGTATAATGTGATACCAAGAGATTATTTGGAGTGTACGTTAGTCTTGTAGATGGCGATATTTTGTTTATCAGGAAAACTCTGTTGCTTCTTGGAATGTCATGTCCCATGATAATTTTGCTTCCCAAGGAGAGGGTCACTCACATTTACATCTGTAAACATGATATAAATACTCTGTGAAACCAAGTGGCTTTGCTGCTTTCCTTCCTCCCCTTGCAAATTTGCACACAGCTCTGATCTGGTTATGGGTGTGTTGGCTTGGGTCTGATTATCAGGAGCATTGTACTGGGTATGGAGCTGGTTAGAGGTGCAAGAACTGGGTCCCTGGGATCCCCTTTTGAAGAGCTAAACTTTGTATCTGAGTACTTGGAAATTGGGCTGAGGAATATCCTGGGATGGGCTGATGCAGAGACACAGAGAAATAGAGGCTGATCTCAGATGTCATGAGGCAGAGAAAGTACTGGGTTAAATCCATTCACACTTTATCCTAAGGCCAGTTGTTAAGTGTTGCCCTATGGTAAGAATGGTTACTGGCTGTCTCAGCCTCTTTAAGGCTGTGAAGCCAGGCTCTGACAAAGCCTTTTCCCAGTCTCAGGTGTTCAGGGTGAAAGATGCACCTTTCACCATCAGCTCTGTGTAGAATTTAAGAGAGATTGAGGACTAGAAGGTCTAGCTGCAACAGATGATGGTGGCTCCAGCTGCATCTCTCCTGTGTGGAAAAGATAGCAAAAATGGCAAGTTTGCAGCTGCTGGCTTGGGGATGTCTATCCATGGGATGACATCCAGAAATTCCCAAGTGAGAATTGCTGTGCTTGGTCAGCTGCTTAAAGGATGTTGGAGAGTTATTTGCATACCCTCAGCTAAAGTCACCAATCATTACTGTGGCTCAACAGCATGAGACCTGCGTATGGCATAGAATGTTTCCCATTAGACTGAAAGATTGGAAAAAAAAATACAGCTTTGGTGTGTTTTCTTTGGTGTGTTTTTCTTCCGGACTTTCTTAGTACATCTATCTACCTTAGCAAAATGAAAGCAGTTTTCCTTGTATATGCCAGAGCTTGTGAAATAAAAGGTGTGATCCGTAGAAAATCAGTAATCAGATGACTTGGTACCTGAGAAGCACCTGAGACCTACATGTGATTACTGGATTATTTGAAGGTTATTAGAACTGCCTCACTATGCTTCTGTACTATATGAAAATCTCCATACATGTGTAGATAAATATATAGATATACCATTAGCCTGTACAGATTTATACCTACATATATGTACATTTATGTTATCTGAGAAAACAAAACAGAAGCAGTGAGCAGTGTTTCTGCATGGTTTAAAGCATAAGAAATACCCAGTTACAGTGGTGTGTTCCTAATCACTGTGCTCCTGAAGGAGCCACGTGAGCAGCCTCATTCGTCTGTCGATGTCTGTGAGAGAGCAAACAGGTTGTCACAACAAGTGTTCCTGTCTGAGACCTAAAATGGCTTCTGTAGTGTGAGGGTTTTATGTCCAAATAGCTTTTTTCTGCTCTTGCTGAAGTGCCAGTTATGAAGAAATGTGGAAAATCTGGAACAAACCCAGCTCCTGTCCCCAGGGATGTTTGAAAATCCAAGCAACTTCTGAAATTCACCCAGAACAGACAAAGGAAGGATGCTTGTGATTCACTGTTATTTTGAAAACAATCTTTGAGTTATAATTTCCATCATGTTTTCACTCTTTCCTTTTCCTTTCCAGGCAGTGAAGCCGATTTTAGCTCTTCAAGCAGCACGGGCAGTATTTCAGCACCTGAAGTCCATATGTCGGCTGCTGGAAGCAAGAGATCTTCTTTTTCTCGCAAGTAAGCAAAGCAATATTTTCCTGAATATGGCTAATGCAAAGATAGACTACTGTGTAAGGTCTTGCATTTTAAAACAATCAGGTTAACACTTGGCTCTTGGGTAGCACACTGGTGCACACAGCACTGCAATATAAGAAAGAAAAAAATGCTGTATTCAATGCCCAAAAATTGTGAGTATACCAGATCAGCCAGGTATTGGGTTTTTTTTTTTGTTTATTCATTGCAAGTGTGAGAAATAGAATCAGGTAAGGCAGAAAAGGCATTGGCTGGAGTGGAGAGAGAGCTGGGTGTGTTAGTTAACAGAAGTATTTCTAACCAGTTTACCTAAACCTTTTGGTCTTAACAATTTGTTTTATCTCTGTCATAAATTGCCAGCTGAGCTTGCACCTTTCCAGATCATGATCTTTCTTTTGTTGTTGTAAGAAGCAGACAGTATTGCCTTGGATGTTGGATTTTTTTTTTTTTTTATGAAATACCCTTGCCCAGCCTATAGGCAGGGTTTTTTAAAAAAATGATATCATACTCATCTGTCTAAGTGACCCTTTCATGAATGATTTCTGTAAGATTTCTCCCTGTCATCTGTGAATTGCCAATTCAGGCAGCTTGAGAACACAGGGGCATTGGGATGGAGCAGCGCACGTTGTGTTCTGCCCACGCAATCCCTGCTGGTTACATTTTGTGGAGCAGGAGGAAGGAGTTCCCAGGGACAGGACAGGTTTCCTGCCTGTGGTGGAAGAGCTGGCAGGCAGGCTGGACAGCAGCAGGGTATCCGTGTGCCTGAGTCACACCAGAGTCATGAGGGTCACGATGTGCCCCGGCACACTGAGGCTGTCAGAATGGGGCTTTGAGAGCACTTTCCTATCTGTATCATGAGGCTCTTAGAAAAATAAACACTACTTGATTACATTCAACAAGTAAAGTTACTGGCTGTGGGAAAAAATGTTAGAAAAATAAACACTACTTGAGTTCCCTCTAGATTACATTCAACAAGTAAAGTTACTGGCTGTGGGAAAAAATTGTACTAAGTATAATATGAAGCCCTAAAATCACCTTAATTTCAGTAAGATTCTGTGTCATTTCATACAGTACTGGACATTTTAAGTTAAGTTTAAACTAGAGCATACTGACATCCTGTATTGGACAGAAGTCCTCTGTAATAAGGCTCCTTCAGATGCCCTGCTATGTTAAGCACAGTCTCTGCAAGTTCTGCCACACACCAGATTTGATGATACACTGTATGAAGTGGAAAGAGATATCTCCTTTGCAATATGTTCTTTTTTAACTGTTCTTGCTATGAAACACTTCAGTGTTGTCACAAACCACAGTCCTGTACTTCATTGTAAAATAATTACAAAATCACTCAAACCACAGCAATGTGATGAAGGTTCACAGCAGCCACTCAACCATCTGTTCCTTATAAACTGTTCCATTTGCTGAGAAGGGAAAAAACCAAGTGAAACAATTTAAAGAAGAGATGTTGCTTCATAATTCTGTGGTATTTGATTTTTTATATTCAAGCCTTCTCTTTTGCTGGCTGGGTTTGCCTTTTTATGGTATTTTTTGTTTGGATTTCTTTATGTTATTTTTTTAAACCTGCCCTTTCATTACCATTTAGAAGAACAACTTCAATGGAAGAGTCAAGGTAGCAGTGTAGTAGTGTAGGCTGACAAACCAAGTGAGCAGGAAAGGGACACATCCCGGGAAGCTGGCCTCAGAGCACTCCAGCCCTTGGGCAGCTGTCAGGCAGGGAGGATACCAATTGCCTTCAAGCACACACAGTTAACAGATTCTTTAATAAAGAACAGAAAGAGAAAGGTAAATATGTATGATAAAAACTGGAAGAAAAAAAGAAAATACGGTGCTTTCCTTTGTCTCTTTTAATACTATTTCAGCCTGTTCTCCATGGGGCTCAAACTATATCGAAGTGAATGAATAGCTGACCATGACAGATGAAGCACCCAGTATGCCAAAGGCAGAAAAGAAGAGTGGTCCAAACAAAATCTGTTTTCATTGCACACTGTGATTCCTCAGGCTACTTGCCGAGGAGCATGAAAGCAGTCTTACAGCAACCCTCCATGCACAGGCACCACTCTGCAGGCCTGGCCAGGGAGAGCTGGAGTGTGGTTCTTTTGGCATTAGTCCAGACCACAAGCCTCTCCTTACTTAACAGAGTCCAAGATTCAGGGAACGTGGATGATCTGGTGCAGTCACTGGGAACTGTGCTGTCCACAGAGAGATGTAAAATGGCTGAGATTTCCTTAGAACACGTAATTCAGACTGAGAGCCCCCTGCCAGTGGAAGAACATGCAGTGCCTGATCATGTCAGAACTTCATTTCTTTCCAGCCACTCAAAGTTATCTCTCTGGTTTATTGTTTAGGAAACTTTGTGTGTAAAATAAGACATATAATGGATTGTGTGATGAGAATAATGCTTTCACTGTATTGGTTCTTCTCCAGTCGTGGTCCTTATGGTCGGAATAATGGATCCTTATCCTACAAGTCTGGAGCCAGTCCACCTGCTTCACATGGAAAGGATGCTTCATCAACACTGTGCAAAAACCATCTGAGTCCTGCTAACATCCATCAGAATTACAGGGCTTCTTCAGCCAGCAGCAGCAACTCAGGCTCATACAAAGGAAGTGACAGCAGTCCAGTGATGAGGCAAGTCTGTGTTTCAGCCTCCTCGTGTTGGGTACATTGACAGTCTCTCTGCACTGTAGTGTGGGATGAGCTGTAGGAGTTGCCATGCAGGTCATCTTGCTCCTCACCATAGTTATGATGCTTCATATAGGTAACTTAACAGTCAGCAAGGTTCTCCATACCATGTAAAAGCTTTATTGTTTCAGCACTGTAAAATTCAAGTTTACTTTAAGTCAGAGTCCTTTGCATTTGGTTTTCACTCCAAGGCAGGCTATTTCATGCCATCAGTTCTCATGAGGATTTACTGGTTTCACTTCAAAGAGAATTGGGTGGGGTAGTGTAGGAAACATGATACACTTGGGCGAAAATTCACCCTGCCTAGCCTTAGACACCTCCCTAAGGAGAGCAATTTCCTGTATAGGAAAGAACACAGATACCTGCCAGAGCATGTGACAAATGTTGCAGAGAAGAAATGGCCACCCTGCTGCTACTGTTGCCCTCTGTCCCAGACAACTGAGCAGCCACGCATGTAAGATACACACCCAGAGCTAGACAGGATGAGTGTAAATGTCAGTGTGCTCAGCTTTATAGATCCTGGGTGGAGCTGAACTTAGTCCTTGGGCTGCATTCCCTGGCTGGCTGTAGGTGAATACCCTTGCCCTGCCTGTTCTTGGGCACACCACCTGTTTGGGGTGAGGGGATGTCCAGGTGTTTTAAAGTAAAAATAAAGTTAAAAGCCTCATTTGATGTAATGACACTGAAGCCAAGTACAATAAATAGTAAATCTTGCACTGTAGCTACAAATCATATGTTTCCTCAAGTACTTTGGTTTGCAAGGTGAAGTAACTTGTGTGGACACTGAGGAGCCCCAGCTGAGTCAAGTTTTGCATTTTTCAGTCAATGGGATGTTTTTCATTCTGCCAGGACTTAAGAACTGTAAGAGTAATGTTATGTGATGGTTTGTTTTGCATTTTTTCAGGCGATCAGGGAGATACAATTCTTGTAGTGACAATCACAGTATTAAGACACAAAATCCAGAGCAGTATTTGACTCCTCTGCAGCAGAAAGAAGTGGCAGTACGACATTTGAAAACCAAGCTGAAGGAATCTGAAAGCAAGCTCAAAGAAAGGTAAACCTCACTTTAGAAATCAGTCAGAAAGATTTATTTGGGAACATTTAGGAGTGGGAATCTTGAGTGTTTTTACTCATTTCTTGATCAATGAAGTTTCCATTAAGAAATTTGAAATACGATTAGTCTGGTTATGTTGTTTTCAGTATTTCAGGTTTCAGAGTGTACTAAGGGGATGCAAAACAATGAATTTATTTAGAAATATAGTTGTCGCTTTTTCCTTCTTGGAACTTTCACAGTAAAATACTTTTAAAGGACAACTTTTTACAAGTCTGATTTACATTGAGACCTTTTATACATAGAACAGTTTCTACCTGCCAGCATGTATTACCTTAGTGTCCTGTTCTACCTCTCTCAGTGAAGTAGAACTGCAAATGTCCCCCTTTTCCCCAGTGAAAGAAATTCATACCCAAACCACTGTGCCTATTTGTGTTTTTGTCACTTACATACTGAGTTTTTCACAATAGCCCTTTGTGTGGATGCTGAGCAAAGAAGTGATAACATGCATTACGCAGCAGCAGATGTCTCTTACTAAAACTGCACTCTGAGAGCTGGCTCTCCAGCACAGACAGCCCAAGGGGGCACAAAGGGCTGTTTGAATTGAGCCCAAGACAGAGTTCCAGGGACCCTGTGCGCTTGCTCTGCATCAGCAAGGCCTGGAACTGACATAGGAGTCCCCTGTCCTCCACTTGCTCCCCATGTGCCTGCAGACCTGAGCTCCCTGGCTGTCCGAGGCCAGCATTGGCTCTGGCTGTATGTGACAAGCTGCTGGCAGGCACTAGGGATGCATCCAGGCAGCTGTTTCCTATTTGCTCCAGGGTGAGGCAGTAGGGGAGATTTTAAGCACTACAGTTGGTTAGATGTGACCTAGAGGTCACCACTTGTGCCTCAGATTGCCCAGGATCATGGCACAGCCCATAAGGCTGCTGGTTTTGTGGGGAGGTCAGTGACTCCCATTAGTCATCAGCTGGCATATCTTGGCTCTCTCAGAGGTGGTCACAAATGGTACCTGGAGAAATTTGCTTCCTTCTTGGAGCATCTCAGCAGCAGAGCCATCACTGTGTGGTGGGAGGCCTCATGTTGATTTTAACTGAGCAGTCAGCAGAATGTTACATCATTTTTATTTTGCTACAGGGAAACAGAAATAGAAGAGCTTAAAGCTCAGCTGGGACGGATGAGGGAAGACTGGATTGAGGAAGAATGCAATCGTGTGGAGGCAGAACTGGCCTTAAAGGAAGCAAGAAGCGAAATTAAACAACTCAAGCAGGTTATTGAAAGCATGAAAAACAGCTTGGCTGAGAAAGATAAAAAAATTCAGAAATACTTCACAGATATAAACATTCAAAACAAGAAACTGGAATCTTTGCTGCAGAGCATGGAGATGGCTCAGAATCACTCTGTGAGGGATGAGCAGTGCCTGGAGTACACGAGCGACTCAGAGGGGAAGCTGTTATCATTGTGTGCCACCCTGCCAGACAGCCCCATCACAGAGGACCAAGGTCTGGAGGAGGTGGCAGACAGTGATCTGCTTCTTGGTGAGGACAGAGCTAATGGGACTGACTCATCTGGAGAGAGTCTGCCCACCACAACCTCTGAGTTGAGTGATCCAGCTCCATTCAGTGCTGCTGTAAATGAAGAGATGCTTGAAATCATTCTGGATGGAAAACTAACTTATTGCCAGGAAAAAGAAAAAAGCAACATGATGGTGGAACAGGCCATCCAGACTGACGTGGTGCCATATAGCTTGGATGTGGAGCAGCTCATTCAAAACATCTTCAGAGCTCAAGACACCAGTCCTCTAAGCCCACCTTCTTCACTGAAGGAACTGGGTGAATTTTCTCTTGGAAGCTTCAGTGATTCTGGTATCTTAGTGGACTTAACTCCAAGTGATCCCAATTCTGCCATCCTTTTGTCTCCTATGGAGTCTCCATGCAGGAAGGTGGAGCACAGAGTTAATGAAAACCGTTTCATGAAAGAACTTGATTTTACAGAACCTCATGATGATGAAGCCTTTGAGTATGGTAATACAGGAATAATGAGGAGATACTGGAGCAGCAGTCTCCTTGGGGATCTTCTGGCTGTAGCAGCCCCTGTTGTACCAACTATTGTGTGGGCTTTGAGTACTCAGAGAGGAGGAACAGATCCTATTTACAATATTGGAGCATTGCTTCGTGGTTGCTGCCTGGTGGCCCTGCACTCTTTACGCCGAACACCCTTCAATATCAAAACCTAAAGTCTACTCTGTCCCTGGGCACCAACTGGCTGAGGCAGAGAGAAAGAGGGTTGAGATGGATCATAAAAGTTTACTGTATATTCTGGCAGAGTCCATAATTTGCTTTTGACTATTTGATTTGCACTATAAATCAGTTAAAAACATGTTCCTTGTTTCAAAATAAAAAAAATAAGCTGAATATCATACTTCCACAAGATGTTTTTAACAGTACTGCTGCTTACAGAAATAGTCCTCCTGCTCCCAGGCATCATGTCCCTCCCCTGTGTTGGTAGCTTTCTGGTGCCAGCACATCTGCACAGTGAACATAACCAGAGAAATAGGAATTCAAGCCTAGTGCTCTTTCATGTTCCACTGCTGAGCTAGGATTAAGCTCAGTCACTCTCTCTGGATGGTTCACTGAGCAAATGAACAAGCACTGGCTTTGCACTGGCTCAAGGGTAGTGTGAGATGCACAAGGGAACAAGTGTCTGGAGAAGGGTGGGGTATTTCTCTAGACAGCACTAACCTTCCCTTAGGGTATCACACCTGTGCTCCAGAAAGCATGCTAGCGCTTTCCATTTGTTGTCCCAAGTGTCAATTCAATTTAGAGGTAAAACCCGTATTCCCCAGGCAGCTTCCAGCACATCGTTTGTGCCTGTCTCTTGTAGTGCTCTTCTCAATTGTGCAATTGCTTGAGCATTTCACTGGTCTTGTGCGTATACAGGGACTGTAACCAAAAATGTACATCGCTGGGAGTCTTAACACTTGTTACAATGATAAGTATAGGCGTGGATACACTTTGATTCTTAATGTTGTTTTAAAGTCTTTATGTATTGGAACCCGATAGTCTTTTGAGCCCTTGGAAATACTATGTATAAATGTATTGTGTTTTAACTTATTGTTTATTTAATTGCTTTATTGTAAATTACCTTTATAATCACAAGTTCAGTAAAGCATGATAGATATGTCAAACGCATGAGTGTTTTACTGTAGAAAGGTATAAAAAAGTACCCCAGTCTAGCTGAGCTGTCAGCTACAGGCTGAGCTAGGGGAGGTACTTTACCAGGTACTGTTCCAGGAGATCAGAATTAGAATGAGAAAACCCGAATCCAGTTCCAAGTGTAAGCACTCACTGATTAAAGGCTCCAGCTGGGCTGCAGTTGCACACACAGCCCACTCTGCTGCCTCACGCTGCCTTCACAGATGCAAGTGACCTAATCTTTAACCCAGTGCAATCATCTGGAAACCTTTAACTCCTCAGCACTGCAATTCCAGAATACCAATCTTTCTGGCATTTAACCCATCTGACAGTCATGTGGTCTCAGTGTGCATGCACACTGTGACCATCAAAACACGAATTCTCCACATCCAAAACCCAAGATATGGGGATAGATCAGAGGACAGCAATGCTACCCAACAGGCAAAACAGTGGGGTTTGTCTGGCTCTACCCAAGCTTTCAACCCCACCTCTGGCCATTTAAACCTCACTGGCCTCCTGTTTTCCCCTTCAGCAAAATAAGTGTAGTATTTCCTTGTGTGACCCGGAGAAGAAAGGATCCAGGGAAGCCTGACAGTGCCATGTATTGCTCTGCAGCTTTTGGGAAGGAAGTTATGAGTACTTCACAAATGAGTATAATTGGCCATGTGTGGGGAGCATTTGCAACACTCAACAGGATGATAGTGATGCTTACAGAGGTGACTTGCAAACTTTTCATGTCTCTGTGGTGCCCGAGTGGTGAATCATTTTGTGTTTGCAGTAGATATGCTGGAAGCTTCATTAAGCATTACATTAGGGAAGAGAACTCTAACAGATCATTTGAAGTAAATATAATCCCCATCTAACAGAGATGGACATGAGAGCATCTTGCTCATATTGCCATAACCTTGTCTTCCATGTTCTCCTACCTTCTTGGGTGCCTGCAGCCATCTGGCTTCCCTTGTGACACTGCTGCACTGCATATTGCTCAAACATCACTTTCAATAGCTTTTACATTATAGGAATGCTAGGGGCAAAATTACCAGTTGGAGATATTATCAATATAAACTTTACACAACCATGGACTTTCATAATTCCTGAATATCTCTTCTTGGGACTGAAACAGATTACAGAAAATTGTATTCTTAATGTCAGAATATGTCTGTGCTGGGCCAGGAGAGCAGTATTTTATACCTGGTGTTACAAACTTCATTACAATGTTGGATTTTTCTTTCACAGCCATTATTGTTTAAATGATCTTTGAGTGACACTGAAATGCACCATAATTTAGAAGAAAACGTGATCTTCAGTTCTAGATGCATTCACTGTTGACTTTGTGGGGAGTTTTTGCAGGAGGAGGCAACAAAGCAGTAAAAAACTACACTTACGTTTAATATGCCAATAGGCTGATCTCATAACCAGAGCAATGTCAAAGTTTCTTTCTGCTCTTTCTGCCCTTAAGATTCTTCAGTCAGTTCAACTCTCATAAGACTGTTATGTTCAATTCTCATAAGACTCTATGTTCAACTCTCATAACTACTATGCTCAGCGAGAGGTGACAGCATTCCGACAACATTCCTGATAAAAGCCTCCACCTTTCCTCCTCCACACTGCAAGGACATAGACAGCTCAAGACACCCTTTGTTAGACCACACCTGAATTACTATAATGCACTAGTCCCAGACTTTGGTCTTTGTTCCACTATCCATTGAGGATAAGCCAGCTGTTGTTCCAAACATACCAACTTTGCTTTATTCCCCCTCTAATATTACACTTAAGTCTTAGTCATGTCTCACCTGAATCTCGCTGGTGCTGTACTAGGAGCTGTACTAGGGGAGGATCACCAGCCTCCAAACAGTTCAATAAAAATTCCCATCTTTTTTTCTGAGTTTAGAAATTGCTCATACCCACTCCCCTACCCCACTGGAAAGTCTTAACTTCTCAAAACATGCAGGTGAGGACATGCAGCTCATACACTATAGGTAAAATAGCGAACACTTGAATTCGGGCTTAGGGCATAGGAACAAAATCAGCTTCTTCCTGGGATGAAGAAGGGATGCATGTTCATAATCCCACTACACATTTTATTTATAATCCAGGGACTAAAAAGCCCTTCTTTCATATTCATCTTAAGAGGGACCCAACATCTCTGTTGCTGAAAATGTTGAGGCTCAGGCATTTGACCCCCTTCCCACTAGAGAGTCATCTCTATCCTTCACAAAATCACAGAACGCATCAGGTTGGAAGGTACCACAGTTGGTCATCTGGTCATCTGGTCCAACCTCCCTTCTCAAGCAGGGAGCACATGGTACAGAATTGCATCCAGGAATTCCTTGAGTACCTTTAGGGGTGGGGAGACTACAAACTCTCTGGGCAATCTGTTCCAGTGCACACTCAACTCAAGTAAGGAAGTTCTTCCTCATGTTGAGGTGGAACTTGCTGTGCATCAATTTCTGCTTGTTGACTCTTTTCACCCTTCCCTGTGTCCCTCTTGCAAGGCTGTTCCCAACTTGTAATTACACATTTCTCCTTCCTTTCCCTGCACATCAACTCCCTCTTAATCCCAAACTCCTGAAACATATTTATCACTGTTTTACATATACCCTATATAACCGAGTATTTCACTCCAAATCCCTTCAGACAAATGAACACAGGACCTGGCAAGCACAAACAACTACAGCACAGTCAAGGAAAGGATTTTTCAGTCATCCTGGCAGGTCAATCCTTCACAGTCAAGAATATCAGTGAAAGCAATCAAGTCCAGCTTTCAGCCAAGAAAAAAAGAAAGAAAAAAAAAAAACAAACAAAAAAAAAACCCCAAAACCACATGGCCAACAACTAAAATATGAATGAGAAAAGGAGGAGCATATGGCAATAGAAGGGAAAGACAAGAAATGCACACAGGGGTGTACAGGATCTTCAAGAAACTCAAACCAATGGAAAAAATAGTATCAGAGCAGCAGCCTCAGTAAGTTTAGCAAAAGTGTTTTCATATTTATCAAGGAAAAAAAATCAAGATATAGGAAGGAGGAGAGACCACAGGAGAAAGATGGAACTGGTACTGATGCATGGGTTATCACCATTCAAGAGACTTCCTCCAAAAGCAGCATCCTCCCTACTGGCACCACATCAACACAGGGCAGACGGGAGGAATCTCTAGAGCAGCTGCGCTCAAATTTGGCAGGCAGAAGGAAGAACAGCAAAGCAGTACACAGCAGGAGGAAAAAGCAATGCAGGAGGAGTCCCAAGCAGAAGGTAGCAGAACTCAAGGGTTTTTAAAATGGCCGAAGGCTCAATGATCAAATGTGCTTTTATGACATATTTAAGGGGCTTTATTTGCAACTTAGTAAATCGCTTACCTGTTGTTATTTTTAATAAATAGTATTGATTTACATCTATTCTATATTGCCTCAAAAATAGCAACAGTAATCACTAATTTTTTAAAAAAATGAGACATAGCTTCCAACGGATTTCACTTTAAAGAGGCAGTAGATAGCCAGTTTCTTTGCCCTGTGTCAGCAATAGTTAAAGAATTGTGACTGGTAACCTCCTTGCTTCTTGAGTGCTGTTAAAAGGACAGAGATTGTTATTAAAGCTTATTCATAAACCTTCTCATCTCCCATCCCTTGTCAGATACTTCGGAGGTGTGTACTAGAAGATTTACTTGCCATACTGCTGCAGTGAAGTCTGCACTTGAAATAATGTGTTCTATTCCAGCCAGAAGACTTGTGCAGAAAACATGCATGGCAGTTGGCTTCAAAATATATTTCAAAATTTAACATCTGAAAATTGCTGTCACATCAGTTACTTGTGCAAGATTTGAACCTATATGGCAAGTATACTTAACATTTTTTTAAAACTTTTCTCTGTGATTAAAGCCATTAAAATTCTTACCTTCTTGTTTTCTCAATTACTTATACTCTAAGCAAAACTTGTGCCAGACCTTACGAGAACTTAATTACAAATTCTATTTTTGTAGGCAGGAAAGCTCTAGTCACATGCCCTCTCCTCCCCTTCCCATTCTCTTACAACTGACACTTCCTGTGCCGTCCCTGGATGAACAGGAAACAAGTCTCATGTGCAAAATGTGCCGACGTCACTCATCTGTCATAAGGTAAGAAACCCAAACAACCCACAAATCAGGGATAATAGCACCCATGCAACAGAACCTGGAAAAAGCATTCACTAAGCACTGGGCTGGATGAAGCGCACAGACTTCAACCCCATGCCATCTACCTCTTTCCAGCAGACATTGAACTTTAATTTTCATTAAAGCACTGTTGCCTTCTACTGCACATATACCATTCATGCTTCACCAGGGGAATTACAGAGGAAACACATACAGAAAGTGTGCAAAAAATGCAGTTTGAAAAGTGCTTGTAACTGAACTGAGAATTTTCACACTAGCTTTATTAGCAGGAAGACATCATTTTTCTTCTCAGTTATGCTAACTATGCAACGACTGTAAGGTGTGAGGATTCCTATCTGTAGGAAGTATAAGAATTTCTGCTAGAAATACAGATTTACCAATACAAATAAATTACTAAAATGCTCCCTTACATTCACATCAACCCTTTGTAGGCTGCACCACTCCTGTGTAGTGATGCCACTGCTGGTAGTCAATGCAGTGTCAAGTGTAAATGGGAGCACAGGAAGCTGCAAGTGACAAAGTGACAAGAAATCCACTTTCAGTATTCAGGTGCATAACCCACCAGGATCACATTTTTAGTTGCAGGTCATCCATAGTAAGTTATTTTCTTCTACACAGTATGATGTCCCATGGAGAACATTCAAGTGTTTACAAATACTTTCATAAAAGAGCAAAAGCAGACTTTTTTTATCAGGCAGGAAACAAAAGGTTCTTTAAAACTGTTTAATTACATGTTTCAGGTAAGCACAGACAATACAGGTAGATTTCCCACCACGCAATATTTACATTCTTTTCTCTAGGCTTGAGCTGTTCATTTAGAGTGTTTTTCGATCAACATCCTTGTCA